GTCATGTCTTGTGGCCTCGCTTGTAGCTAGACATAGAGCAAGCGGTGAAAGAGTGCATCACTTGTCAGTGGTCACAGAATGCGGCAGCTAGAGTGCCACTAATGTCATGGGGCTGGCCAACGCGTAGATGGCAGCGAGTTCATCTGGATTTTGCGCAAAGGGACCAGCATTACTTTTTGGTCCTAATGGACGCTCATTTGAAGTGGGTTGAGGTGTTTATCATGACAACAACAAGTAAAAAGACAGTAGAGAAATTGCGAGGTGTTTTTGCGGCCCACGGACTACCAGAGGAGATCGTGACCGACAACGGGCCCCAATTCACATCGCAGGACTTCGGAACATTCCTGAGCAGGAATGGAGTTCGTCATTCCAAATCTCTTCTCTATCACCCAGCTTCGAATGGTAGCACCGAACGGTGCGTTCAGACCATCAAGAAGAACTTGTTTAAACAGATACTAGACGAAGAAAGAAAAGGAGACAAGAAGTCCATACAACATCGCATAGACCAATTTCTCTTCAGTTATCGCAACACCCCGTCCAGCACCACTGGTGAGACCCCGGCCCAGATCTTCTTGTCGTGGCAGCCAAGAACCAGGCTGAGTCTGCTGCACCCTGAAATGAAACAACGCATGCGCGAAAGGGGGAGCAGGCGAAGCTCCACGCAGACCAGAAACGAGGGCCATGGAGAGACTTTACGGAAGGCGACCAGGTTTTGGTAAAAGGGCTCCGCCCGGACGACGACAAATGGTTGTTGGGTACAATTGCTCAGTGGTGCAGCGCCTGACGCAACTTTTGCAACACTCGCTGCAGCCACAGATTCACGAGCAGCTGACGAAAGGAAGTCTGCTAGAGAAAATGAGGCAATAAAAAAAGAAATAGAGGCTGTCACATCATCATCATAACATCATGATAAAGTGAGGGAAGAAAAGAGAGTTGCCATGGGGTCACTTTTGAAGGTGTCAATAGCGCGTGCACGCAAATTTTACAATTTGTGTAAAATACCTTTCAAGGTGTTCTGGCTGCATGATATGCACATGTTCGCGGGAATGGATCCCACAGGCTATCTCGGCTGCTAAATTTTGTGTCTACCCTTTAACTTCTTGCCCGACCATTGACGAGTGTAGTCAAGATTTTCTAACAGTGACCGATGACCACTATAATCATCGGTCATTTAATTTGTTTGAAAATTTCGTGACAACTCCCAAGAATCAGGCGTGACCGAAATAATGCTCACTATACTTGCCACATTTTTGTTTGTTGACGCTAGATTGCCGCACATCTAAGACATTTGTGTCCCAGCTTTAATTTATTGCTTTTTTTCATTCTATTGTCTCTCAGTGAAGCCACCTTTTATCATTTTCCACACAATTAGTGAATCAATGCTATTGAATTGAAAGACTGGTACCTTTATTTACAAATAAAAAATCTTTACAAATTGAGCAAAATTTTTTTTTTCAATGATCCTTGCAAGTTTGTTTTTTCTGTTGTGAAAGGGTTAAATTGACGGCCATCCACTTAGTAATTACCGCCTCACCCTACTTCTTTGTACCACTTGCTCAAACAGTGAATGTCGGTACTGCTTCATGTCTTGATAATAGGCTACAAGCGACCACGCAGCCTCGTTATTAAGAGGGATGAGGGTCTTAAAAAGTTTATTTGTTCTATTGTCATGAAAATTGCCATGCATGTGTATCACTGAACGGAGATTTAAAATGTGGAAGCAGATTTCAAATATCTCGCTTAGAAAAGAAGTAATGACAAATTTTCACAATATAATTTGGTAATTTCTTGAACCGGGTCTAATTGAACCGGGCATGTTCTGTCGTTGCACAGATCGTTGTCGGAGGCCAAAACTTGTCCACGCGTGCGCATGCGATTGCACTTAAAAAGCTGCGTATTCGGGGGAGAAAAAAGTGCTCTAGGTCAGGAGGCTTGTGTGACTTGGGTATTTTCTCTACTCGTGTCATGTCTCCCTGCTTAGCTTCCAGCGCTTTCGTCGGGAGGAGAGAAGAGAGCATGCAATTGCAACGTGCATCAAATCTTTGCAACTCCGCTCGTACTAGACGGATTGATTCTAAAAATCTTTGCGGTGATGTTTTTGTGAGACAATAAGCTTTTTTAATAAACTCCTTAGATGGCTACTTGAAAAGTGTTGCAGGGACCCTTTATTAATCGATTCTCTGTTTAGCACGCTCCTGTTCTTTCAAAATTTTACACTTTATCGGTCACACCTATGCTTGTTTCCACTATTCTACATCTTTTTCACACAGGATTTCACGAAGACTTGACGTACAGAATGCGGAAATGCAAATATTTTACTGTACTCTTTAGAGGGTGCATTGTAACAGTTGTGTGCGCTGTGGACACTTGCGACTGCAAACTACTGCAGTGGCGTCTTGTCCACGTTTACGTTGGCGCAGGCGTCCCAAGAGTGGCACTCCTTCTGGAGCACGTCCGCGGTCACTGGGCGTCACTCTGAGCTCCGACTTGGAACGCATGCTGGAGGAAGCAGCGGTGGTGCCGTCCAAAGCTTCAGGCATTCAAGAGGTGGATGTTGACGCCATTCTGGCGGAACCGTCCGTTCAGCTGCCTCCCCGCAGGCAAGCCCACTTATCGAACCCCTTGCATTTTTTGTAGTTGCATCCTGGATCTTTCACGTTTGTCACCAGGCTGGCATTGCCATCTTGTTCTCTGTTACTGTAAAAGCTCAATAATTCGGGTTTCATGGAACTGGAAGAAACTGTCCAAGTACATCATTGGTGAATTGTCTACGCGATAAGGAACCAAAAAAAGCATACTAAATCAATACACTTTCATTTTCTTGAGGATTATCTTCAACTCTTAAAGTTCATGATAACAAAGTTACATCTTTCATGAAAATAAATTCGTTATATCGGGAAATTCGTTCCTAAAAGTATATTCCTACTGCTGTATCTATTTTAATACTGTTCTTCATTTGCTTCGTTATAGTAACATTTACTTCGTTTTAATGACCAATATTTCATTGTGTTCTGGCTTTTTACCGAGGTTTGAGTGTATATCTAGCACCTATTTTGAAAATTAGTTATGTAGGCTGTAATTTTCTTCATTTGCTACATCACAATGATACCTTACTCTTGAGCCGAAATGTGCTCTGAATTCATGCCTTATTACGTATCAGTAATGGGATCATATACTCCTTTCAGAAAGCCTGCAGCTGTTTCAGTTGTCTCGAATGCTGTTTTTGTTCCTTTGCGTCTCACAATTGCAGTGCTTTGCAGGTGGAGAATGGACGTCGACACGTGTTTATGTGACGCATGTTTATCTCTGCTCTAGCTCGGCTGCGGTTTTTATCAGGACAGGTGTGAGCGGGGACCACGGTGTTAAAGCCAGGCGATGGATGCGTGCCTCGCAGCGTTACTTTTAGTATGGATGAATGCTACAAGTGTGGCTGAGGCTTGGGTTAAGGTGCCAACATCTAGGCGTGTTGGAGCGTTGACAAAAATGCACTTCTTGCATTAGAAATGCGGCCGAATGGGATAGGTGCGCAGCAATGGTGCATTGCAAGAGTTCATGACTTAGGCCACGGTCATGATGCATTGCTTCACTTTGCCACTACCAGAGGCCACGACACCCCGTCAAAAAAGAGCACTGTCGGAGAAAAGTGGTGTATATAAAAGATGCGATTATAAAGCTTCTGCAGTGTGTGACCATGGCACCGTGAATAGCGTGCCTGGAATCTGTTGTGACTGAAGGAGAGATTGTGGGTACGACTCCTGCTGATAGAACTTTTTCTTTTCATCATTTCCGGGACAGAAGTAAGTCGCTGCAGCCTTACGGGCATAAAACACTTTCGTGTTAAAAAATATATATATAAAATTTCTTCACCTTTTCATAAACGCCTCCCTGGGCGCCGCCATAGCCCTCCTTGGGTTGTGCAAATTGGCGCGTCCCCTCAAAAATGCACTGACAACGCTGCGTCCTTAGCCTTTGTACATCCGCGCACAGCCCATCATGGCAGTGGGACAGTCTTTTTCACTTCTTATTGGAGATGGCTTTCTGGTTGTCGCAAGAATATGTTTCACATTGTTTCTATTTTGGAGAAATCCTTCAGGCTCCTGCAGTTTAGTCGAGAGTTGTGGAGATTTTAGTTCCATTTGGTGATAATTCTTTTTAATGACAATGTACCAAACCAACCAATTAAGAACTTTTAGTTCAATTTGTAAATTTTTAAGTTGGGGAGATTTTCCTGTACAACGTTCTACTAAAAGATTTAAACACTGACCTATTTACACAGCAGGCTCAGTAGCTCATTAGCGCAGACTGTGCTGACAAGTTTTTCGTATTGTGTACTAGTATGAAAGAGTGGGCTGTAATATTGATGAAATATGTCCAGTCTTCACTGCGAGCTGATTCTTGCAGCTTTAGAGATCTAAGCCCACTCGCTCATTCGGTTACACTGCACTCTATGCATATGTAGATGTGCATTCTAAAGTTCAGCAAAAAAATTGTTTGATATAGTAAATGCACCTTGTTCTGAGCAGTAGCTTAATAGTGTTTCTTAATCCTATATGAAATATGGGTGCACTGTACAGTGTGTAGCTTGCTTGGTGGCTGTGTGGGGACCGGAAAGAATGCATGGACGACACGAGTGCAATATTCCCGATACTAAAGGAACCCACACAAAGGGGGGAGAGAATGCATGACAGCATGAAGAATTGTGCCTCTGTTCGACAGTATGAAGTGGGACCGGATGAGTATGTTTTGGGCTTTGTGCTTTCTCCTGAAGATTTTTGTTCTTGCTAAATAAATTCTAATTCAAAATATTCATTTAATATGTTCGCGCTAGTATATATTGACTTTGCTCTTCTCAGCCTCTGCAGATGTTGCATTGCTGTGGTTGTTTCACTTCACAAGTGCCCTCAACTCTTCCTCAATTCGCTCGTTCTTTTACAGATGTCTCAAGAAAAGTGCCAGCCCCCCCAGCCATACCCGCAGGCTGCCCCTCGACACTCATTCCCTGGGCCTCATACCGCGGTTGTCGTCGCAGGAGATTCCCGTTGTGCTCGAAGGATTGGCAGAGGTACGCTGCATGTAACATTGCTAATCAAAGTGCTTTGTTCCCGCTATTGATAACAACAGTATGTTCTCAGATTAAAAAAAAAACTACTCTGCCTGAAATAAGCCTGTTAACAGTTCCCCAGCTAACATTGATTGCCTTTCGATGAAGTGACCTCTACTGTACAGAGGGCATACATGTATCAAGTCTGAATGCATTGCACAAAGGTGAAATGCTCAATTCTCATCACGTGCAACATTATGGCTGGTAGTGCATCAAATATTAATCTTTCAGCCTCGGCTTGTAAAAAGGGCCCTGTAATACATTTTCAGCATGATCAGAAAACACTAGTCGACACCAATGAAAACACAATAGCCAAACATTGCATTATAGCACACCAAGCAGCATTTCGCAATTAATTTTCAGTCAACTATAAATTGTTCTCTCTCCTTTCTGCAAACAATGCCATATGACTGCGCAGTGTCCCCAACTGCACGATCATCAGCCGATTTTAGCAGTGTGAACTTCATTGTCACTAAAGCGGCCACATTCCTGCCCGTGCAATTCCACTGCAAGAATGCTGTGCATTCAGATCATGACAGGCCTGCAACATCATTTTGTTTTTTTTTCATACTATTCCTCCCACTTAGCAACAGGTAGTTGTCTTCAAAATGTGTTGTTATTTCAATAACAGCTCACACTTTCCCTTTGCCATTGTAACTTACAAGGTATTTCTTTTTGTTGCAGATATTCAGTGAACCGCTGCATGTAACTGAGGCAAGGTATCAGCAGATGATACAGCGATCCGAAGAGATGACGAAAACAGCGTTGCAGATAATCGCCGACTTTTGGAGTCGTGATAGAAGTCAGGAAGACTCTGAATGCTGAGCAGCAGTGCAGTCGAGTTCTTCTTTTAGGGTTGACAGGCGGGCTAGTTGGTACAATTGTACCCAGTTGTTTCCCTTTCTGATCTTTCTGGCATATAACTTCTTTTCTGAATAAACTGAGTTTCAGTCTGCGCTTGATTGTCTCTTCTCCCGTGTCCCGTTGGTTTGCGCTTCTAATTATTCCATTATGAGTTCTTGTTTAGCAGACAGCGGACAGTTTCGTCTGCAGCACGCATTTGACGAATAAACTACGCATCATGTGTAAATACGTGTTGTACCGATTACGTTAGTTTTTTGTGAACGTGCTTTTAGTTTATCTGCTTTCAAATGTACTTTTAATCGCGTGAATAAATTATTCCACCGATGGAGTGTTGGTGTTTATTTTCTGCTTTGAAGGCGCTAAGCATGGAAAGAATGTATTGGTGCTGAAAACTGTTAAGATAAATTATTTAAATTATTTCAGAGGGTTTGAGAGTTATTTTTTTCGAATATGTGAAAACAAGGACTGTGTTGTTTTGAAAACCTTTGCTGTTGTGGTAGTTTTTTGTGCACTTTGACCTCTTGCCCTGTGTATTCTCAAGTCCCTTGGATTTAGCATTAATAGGTCAATTGACTCGAAGGTCATGTGATTGAATCCCGGATGCTATTTCTGCATTATATGTGAAAATACTTGTGGCCGATGTACTTAGATTTAGATGCATGTTGGAGAACTCCAGTTGGTTGAAATTCCCAGAGCCATCCTCTACGGCATTCCTCATTATCATGCTGTGGTTTTGAGATGTTAACATCAAGAGTTATTACTAATAAAGTAATTTTATTGCAACAATGAGGCCACCAATGCTATGCTTGCCTCTAGTAAAGCTTCAATAATCTTTCGAGTTGTAGTATATGACACGACCAGGTGTGTGTTTACAGGTGTTATGAGCAAAAATGTTTTGCCTAAACTTCTGCCGACCACTGGTCTGATCCAAAACTTCATTCTAACATGTCGCGCGAAAGTGCATTGGCATATGTGAGCAGACTGCAAGATATTAAATGCCGAGCATTTCTTAGTCGCATGATGTTGCGCTTCGGCGTCGGCACTGCCCTTACGGAAACGCCATACATGGCCCATATATAAGTTATATCTGGCCATATATAAGCATATATGGCAGCGTATGTGGCCATATATAGGCATATATGGCAGCATATGTGGCCACATATAAGCATATATGGATGTATATCTGGTGGAGTCGGTTCATGTATGGGGTTATATACGGCCATATATGACGCGGTTGGCCCATTTAAGGAGTCAAATCTGGCCAAATAAGGCACGGCCACACCATATATAACATATCAAGTGGATCCTTATATGTGGAAGTGCTCTCTTATTTGGGATGAACCACGTATATATTTAGCACCGTGATCACACTTTTATGCGAATTGTAATATATAACAATTTGTACACAAAGCTGACCTGCTTGTTTTTTATAACAATAGGAGTATTAAATATATATATGTTAATTGTTTCTGCCATGCAAAAAAACCGAAATTTCAGGTCAGCTTTGAGTACGTGATAGTTGCAACTCAGTTGAATGCATATATGCATGCATTCGTGTAATTTAACTCGTACACTTTTCTTAGCATTTTGGTTGCCCCGCCGCGGTGGTCTAGTGGCTAAGGTACTCGGCTGCTGACCCGCAGGGCGCGGGTTCGAATCCCGGCTGCGGCGGCTGCATTTCCGATGGAGGCGGAAATGTTGTAGGCCCGTGTGCTCAGATTTGGGTGCACGTTAAAGAACCCCAGGTGGTCTAAATTTCCGGAGCCCTCCACTACGGCGTCTCTCATAATCATATAGTGGTTTTGGGACGTTAAACCCCACATATCAATCAATTTAGCATTTTGGTTTGAAACAATAAGTTGCAATTAATACGACGTAAATTATGTATACAAGAGCAGACATGTTTTACGAGGAAGGAATCGTGCCAAGTCACAAAACGTATTGAAGCTTCCGAACCTCGCTATTATTATAGAGCAATCCTATATAGTATTATGTAAAGACAAAATGCATGCAACTTATATTGTTCACATTAATGCATTGTTTAAAGTGGCAGCAAGAAATAGTAATTTCAATGCACTTTTAGCTTCCACATCGGTGGACAAAATTTCTGATTATTTGAAAGTTTTGATGGCTATATGCTCCCTTCATATAACAAGATTTCTATTAATCCTGTTGACCCCTCATCTGCGATTGCTTTCAGCAGCCATTTACTATAATTGCATGCGCAGTGCAATGTTTAAGGGAGTATTTTCAAAAACAAAAAGAACTTACGTGAATGCAACTTGCAGGCACCATTATGATGCATTCAAGATGGAAGTTGTACTAATTTATTGCAAAAATACATCTTGCGTTTCCTTTGGCTACGTATAATGTTCCTGGCTGTGCACATAGTAAATTTATCAAAAATTTTATGATTGCACAAGTGAACAATTATTTTGTGTAATGTTTGCAATCGTCAAATAAATCTCACGTCATAGACATGTACGTTAAAAAAGGTGCAACTGACTCACACGTGATACATAATTAATGGACCATGTAATGAAATGCTGAAGCTTTATAGCAACATTTAACGTAGGCTGCCGAATTCAGAAAACTTCTATTTTGTGTTGGTGTGTCATTACTTCGTCGAAGTCACTAAAGCGCACGTGCCATCATCAGGATTAGCCTAAACATTGCCTTGTGAATACAATTAGTATGACACATTTTTTGCGGGCTGGCGTGATACCTAAGCCAAACTCTACATTATGTAAACAGCCCCTTGTTGTGCAGGCGCGTAACGATTCAAACTGCTTGCGAACATATCCTTTCAACACCAACACGGTAGTGCACTTATTTATAAGATATGTATGCCGGTACATACCCGCCAAACTGCGCAAGTGCACACTCGCGTATAGAGATTCATGGGCACCCGGACACTGGCATTTCATTCAATGTGGCTAGATATTTTCGGCCATGTCAGAATGATATGAGTGTATTATTATTATTATTATTATTATTATTAATGTTATTGTTGTTGTTGTTGTTGTTGTATTTCGCAAAACGTCCAACAGCAAATCCATATGCTGTCATACTATGTCGTTATGTCAGTTTTATGAGATCAGTTATCTTGGTGTTCTTTTAGATGCGGAGCATCTTATATTCGCGCCTTGTAGTGCGCCGTCCGCACCGCTTCTCAAACATTCGACAGCTGACGCGCGCGCATGCGCCGTCGCGCCGTCGCCCACTCTTCCACCATCTGTGCATCCCTTCCTCCTCTACACACCGCGCGCGCTTCACTCCTCCACCATCTGTGCACCCTTCCTCCTCTACACACCGCGTTCGACATCTACAATTCTCCTGATTCTCCAGTGGACGCGCATGTGGCGTCGCGCTTCGAGAACATTCAACAGCTGACAGTGCATGCGCCGTCGTGCTGTATATATACTCAAGGTCGGCGCTCGCTCGCTCAGTTGCCGCTCGTCGGTTGGTTTGTACGGCGCGTCGACGTCCAAGGTCGCGGTGAAATGAATTCCAACGAATCCACAAACACAATGATCGACGTCCCTTCGATTAGCGCCGCCCTTTCGCATACGTGTGTACGCGTTCACTCATTTAACACCACCTCCTACAACCACGTTAACCAATTTAGCCATCGACCCAAGTAAGTCGCAATTTAACACCCCATTTCACAACCACGTTAACCAATTTAGCCATCGACCCAAGTAAGTCGCACTTTAACACCCCGTTAACCAATTATATGGTCCGCATCCTCCTCAGTGTTCCCCCGAGGGAAGCTGCGGGCAATTTTTTTGATAGCATGCTGAATTTTTTCTACTTGCATTAAATGTGCTGCCATGCGAGGCCTTCATTCTCTTCCTGTTGGCTCAACATCTCGCGAGAATCCGGTTCTCCTACAGCCTTCTACAAATTGTACACCGCGATATGTCGTGGTCAACTTGAGTACATATGCATATTTGATTTGGAATGGCCTTGCTAGATCCAGCAGTAGCGCCACTGAGTGAGTCCAGAAAAATTTCATAAGCATTTACCGTCATCGTTCACTAGAATCCTTTCAACACTGCTAGAATATATTTGCCATCAATTAACGGCCGGCAAAATCGCGCTGAGTTGTTATTTCTTTACAAGCTAGTTCAGGGTGAGATATTCTGCCCTTCTCGGTTGTAATAATTTTGAAACTCCGCGTAAGTTTTCGAGAGAGAATCGACCGTTGCATGCACCTGCCAGCTTCTTTCAACAATCTATCCTTTACAGAATACCGAGTCTATTTAACGTCAACTTTCTTAATTCGTTATGTTTTTCATAGTCTACAGTCATTTTTTTTTTGTCAGTGAGGGCTGCCCTGTCCTAACGTAGCTTTGCACATGCACAGATTCTTCCCTTTTCCGTCTTTCAGGAAGCCTTCGGCACGGTTACGTATATTCCACATTATTTTTCAGTCCCATTCCATGAATATCTACTCTTTTATTTGTTGTTGCCATTGTGCGTTGATTTCTTTTCAACTGCTAGTTTTTGCTCTCTTTATTGATTTGCATTTCTGTGGACAGTCTGTGATGTATTGTTTGTTTTTGTTTTCTTTTCGCGCGCGCCAGCATGAAAGACCCTATCGTTGTTCTTGGGTAGGTTAAAAAATGATTGATTGAAAATTGGTTGATTGAATATTATTATTATCATTATAAATGCTTGCGAAATAAGATGCAAATTCGGCTGAAACGCGTCTTCGTAGCCAGCGTACACGAAGCAGCGATTTCAGCTCCACGGAATGCCTGTCTCAAAGGTCTTGCAGGTGCAGCTTTCTGGGCCTGCGGGAGGAAGTTGAAGTCCATTGTACGAAAAACTCGCCTGACTGCTAGGTTGCAAGGGGTGCGCACAGTAAAAAGAATACAAAAAAGGGTGCCCGTCGGATGAGTGGACAATTCGGAGAAAGTTGTTCGAAGAAGCGCGGCGCGTAGGCACCATGTAGCCCTGTCGTGGCATACAACAGTCTGTCGACACAGCAGGAAAGAGAGTGCCGCGGCCCATTTCAAGTAACGACGAAGAAAATAGTTTGCACAAACATTCAGTCGTATGGTAATAATATTGCGTCAATAATTGTT